GAGAGAGAGAGAGAGAGAGAGAGAGAGAGAGAGAGAGAGAGAGAGGAAGCACCTTTTGATAATCAGGAGATTCACACATTTCTTGACACCATCCTTGGACCCCTGATTAAAACCCTTTGTTTTAATGGCTTTCCATTACCTTCAGCTTAAAATCAAACTCTGACACAGATGGGAAAAGGCAGATAAGTATTTTTCTATAATCCAGTTACCTAGAGAACTACGTCCTTTCTTCACAGCTTCTAGGCTATAATTTAGATATTTTCTATCCTAATCTTTCAGTACTTACCAGCCGGTACCTCAGGCCCCAGCCCAAAACACTGACTTGCTATCTTCTCTCAGGGATATGCTGCTTACCACAATGTTTTGTTAATTGTTTATATATTTATCTTTTTTATTTGACTGAACTTCTTTTTGTTTGTTTGGGTTTTATTTTTTTGGGTTTTTTTTGTTTGTTTGTTTTTTAACTGAGCCATCCTGCCACCTGTTGGCAGCTCAGCTCGGGCCAGGCATCGAACTGCTGTTGCTCAGAGCTCACACTCTTCAGTGAGCTTTTAACCAACTTGAGCCACTTGGCCGGCCTTTGACTGAACTTCTTAAAGGTGCTGATTGTATGTTAATTTTTGTATATTTAGAGTCTGCAGCCTAGCTTAGTGGCTGACACATAGTATTAGGTAAATGTTTGGCTAAATAAATGAATTACAAAATTTTACATATTTTTGAAAGAAAATGAGAAAAGGTGAAAGAACAACAAATTATCCATGGTCCCGACAGCCAAATACATCACCTTTTGGCATTTGTATGTCTGCTGTGATCTTGCATGGATAATTTCTACCTTCCAGGGCTCAGCTCCTTCATAGAATATTTGGGGGTAAGAGTCATTGCCCTTTACCACTTCAAATAGACAGTACGAGTTTAATATATGTAGGATTCCTAATCATGCTATTAAATGATTCAATCTTGAGATTATTAAGCATATTAAATTTTCACTACTTTCTACGTATTCCTGGGCCAGCCTTTACCTGCCCAGTTTTGGGGAATTGGTTTATATATCTTCTTATTCCTTCCTTCCCTAGACTCTTACCCTGGGGAGTTAAAGAAATTCTTTAGATGATGCAACCCAGTATCCTCACAGAACTTAGCATAGTGCTTTACATGTTTAATGCTTCTGACTACCACTGTATAAGTTAATTTGTATTTTTGGAAGAGAATACCTGAACAGTTGATACACACTCATGTACTTTTCATCATACTTTTCAGTTTTTCCTATGGAGCAAACTGAAGACCAAGGTAACTTACAAGACTCTAAACTCTGGATATACCAGAATTAGTACCAAATCAATACCTTCAAGAAGGTGCAAGATTCTAGGGCTCGTGAGTGGCAAAACTGAGACTAGAATCCATGTCATTTGTCTCCAAATCGTCAGCAGTACCATGTTGTCCGTCTCTTGGCAACAACTGGCAAAGGTTGAAAGGGCTGTGACTTTTTTTGAATGAACTCAAATTCTGATGGAATTTCATGCTTGGGTTTGTGCATTTTTCCTCCATTTTTGCCATCAAGGCTTCATGTGTTATTCCATTTGAAGGAAAAAGCTCAGGCTGACTCACCCCTTTTAATGTTTCCTGGTCCCCATCCCCTGTCTTCTACTTTTGTTTGCTTCTCAAAGGGAAAAAGGCAAGTGGCGAATCAGAAGGATGTCAAGTCACAAAACTTTTAATTCATGTTTTTATAAGGCTCTAATGATTACTTCAGCCCTTTCGTCTAGCTATAAGGACAGTCATTATTGAAATATCATTCAATAAGGCAGCTTCTGCCTTATTTTACTTTGCTTTATTTTTAGGATAACCTCCTCTTTATGCCTCACTGTCTGAAGGTTGGTCTTTTGAACAAAAGCATCACATTTAGAAATACTAGATCCTAGTGACTAATTTCCCTTCTCATTCAGCCATTTCTTGACAGCTGCTTTCGCCCCAGATTGATCATTTGTCTGGGAGAGAAATCTTCATATCTCTCTGTTTAGCAGCTTAAGGGAGATTATAGTCAAGAGTCTTTGGATTTGATGTTCTTCTGTGCAATGAACTTGACCTCCTCTTGATTTGAAGGCAGGCTGTTAAAGCCAGACTATTACTTGAGGCAAGATGTTTGATACTCTTCCTTGGAGTCATCTTTCCCTTCCCACACAGATGCTGTCGGACTATGGTAACATATTGCCCAAAACAGAATTAAGTTTATCAAAGAACAAATTAAATGTTTTCTTTTGAAAGTGGATTTTTATAGTGTAAGACTTCTCTAAGAGCAAGCTTTTGCATATTTAATCAAGGTCTGTCTGGCACGTTTTGGTAGCTGTAAGTGGAAGCTTTCCCATACATGATGGAGAAGATGGTTTATTAGACGCGAAGGTCTTCTATAGACATGGAAAGCTAATAGCTATTAATCCTGAGACAGAAAGGAGCAAATAGTGTCTGAAGGGTAAATGGGTTTTCTTACCGAAATGTTCAGCTTCCATTTCCTGTGCTGCAGTTTCATCTTCTGAGTGGGCTTTGTGATGCGACTGCTAATTGTGATTCTTGTACTGCTGTGAAACAAAGCCAGGGCTGCTGCAGCCAGGCCTCCAGGAGCCAGGCTGGGAAGGGCGGCAGGCTGTGTGTCAAGGAGGACGAAGAAGTGCGGCTGTTTATTCTTGACATTTGAAAAATAAAGTTGTGCTTTCTACATCAGCAGCTCTGGGTTTTGTATTGTTTCTTCTGTTTTAAGGGGTGGGAATCATTTCTTTCTTTTCCAGCCATGAAGAGGGACCCACCTCTAAGAAACTGAAGACTGAGGAAGGGCGAGCCCACTTCAGCCTTTCCAGCCTGGCCGAAGGCAGTGTCACCAAGGTAAGCAGAGCATCCCCAGAGTCCTCTCGCCCTGCCGGGAAGGTTGGGGCTTACAGAGATGGCATCAATTTGTGTTAGTCCTTTAAAATATCACTTTCTCTGGTCCTTCCAGTATATAAACCATACAGGCTCGTCCCACGCTTCTTCAAGTAATTCTTGTCAGTGAATTCCCTGTAGAATCATCTTTATGATGTATAGTACACAGAGCACTACGTAACACAGAGCACAGAGCATCTCAGTGGGAGCACTTTCTGTGGAGATTATTTTGGTCAGCTTCATTTTGCAGCTTTCTGTTTAATCAAAATGACAGGATAAGTGGGGATGATGATATGAGTCAATCTCCAAGTATGTAAAATTTAAGAGTATAACTATTTCTTTTATAATATACAAATTCAGAACAGGTTTCACAAGTTAGGATTGCCCCAAACCAATATCCTTTGACACTCGAGATCTTTATTTAATGGGAAGATTTTTGGAACTTGAACATATTGCATTATTTTAAGCGGCATTATTTTGAATCAGTGGATCTTAAAAATTGTCCCTTATTAGCCAAACATACTAGGAGAGATAGTTAGCACTGGGGCATGCCTTTTCTCTGCCTCAGAAAAAAAATGCTCTCAGAAAAACTGAATATCTGAAGAACGATTGGGTTTTATTTCAGTGTTTTATAGTGAAGGGCAAAAAAATATGACCTTATTTGTTCTGAGAACTTTTCTGACAGCTATACCAGAGCAAACTGGAAACTTGAGTGCATTTCATGCCAAAGTTTGTCGGAACCCCATTGTCCTCGGCCCTGCGAGCTGAACAATACTTCTTTAGGCCTTATCAAGGTGGGGCAGGAAGAATAAAGGCTTACGTGTGATCAGGAAGTGCCATGGAGTTGGCAGAGATTTTTAGCTTTGAAACTTCCCGCCTTGCACTGCAGCAAACCTTGATACAGATCTCCTTTTATTTTGGGGGGACATGTTCAGTTTGGGCATGTTTATATATTCTACTAAAACTTCAATGCCAAAGGGTCAGCAGCAGCCCCCCAAAAGGGGCAGTTTAGTGCATCAAGCATCAGGCTGTTATTTCTCATGTCATCTTAGTGGGACAAATATATTTTGAACGGGCCCCACGCTGCAGAACCCTCCCTTCCTAGTTGGTTGGGTATCAGGATGCACGAGCCATCTGCCACATAAAGCCCTCAAGCTGCGTTGGCTGGCGGCTTGGTAGTAACACTCCTGACCCCTCTGGAAAGAAGTCACCTTGGCATAAAGGGAGGTAAGTGAAAGCATAGACAGTGGGCCTTTGGCTCCAGGAATCTGCTAGCTTTTAACAGAACCCTGGAAGTGAAAATGAGTGCAAAGGGCTTTCACTTTGGTTTTATTTTATAAGAGCACACTTATTACGTGAAGCCCTCTTGCCTCGCCTGGGGTGCAGCCTGAAACAAGGGGCGATCTGTGGGTTTACTGTCTGTGGGTGTGTTCTAGGTTGGAAGCGTGAATCCTGCTGAAAACTTCCGCGCTCTCTTGAGGCAGAAGACCGCCAGCTTTGAAGAAGGTGAGTGATACGCCTGAGCTCTGCATTTCAGGGGAGAGCCTTAGTTAGGTGAATGGGTTTAAAGTCCAGATTAAGAAGTGAAGCCTTTTGTTACAGTGCTGCATGTGGCGGTTTTCTTTTCCCGTGTATCTTTGTGTAGTCCCGTATTAGTGAGCTCACTGAGGCAGTGTTATGAGCACATGAGGATACACCCACCACAGGTGTGCCCACAAAAAGGAGAAATATTGGGTCATCGGGAAAGTCATGACGTATTTTTCCATGTTTTTTAATGCAAAAATGTGTCATGACTTTCCCGACGACCCAATAATTTGTAGGTCTCCCTGGTAAGAGAGCTGTGGACCTTGGAGCTTTTAGTTCCATGTAATTGGAGTTCTTTGGGTTACTGTGAGCGAGTTTGGAAGATAGCAGTTTTGTGGTGCATCCTCCTGTTTTCTGAGACACACCTTTCTTCTGCTCCTGAGGTGTGAGCCCCTTACAGCAGCCCCAGAAAGACCTTGCTGCTGCCCCTAGATTTTTGGTCCTTCTGAAATTGACCGTGTCCTCACATTTTTCCTATCAGATATACTAAGGATTTCATCTAGGCTTGGGCTAATATTACCACAGCTTCCAGGGCCGGATAGAGAGTCTTGGACTAATCGTCGTCCACTGGGTTGTGTTCAGGCTCCTACTCATTCACCTTTTAAAGAATGGCTGCTGGCACTGGTAACCCTGTAGGTTTGTGTATACAGCAGTCCTCACTATTGCTGCCCAGGGGCAGGCCTGTGGGAGCTGCCTGTGTGTTTATGGTAATGTGTGCGCAGAACTACTTCCACTTCTTGGCATTTTAGGGGGAGCAATGGCTCCTGCATGCCTAGGGCACCACACCTTTTTCAGTGAACTCTCTGTAGTGCCTAGCACAGGTCTAGGGCGCCTTACCACCTACAGTCTCAGAATCCTCGCATGATGGCCTGGACCTGCTCTGCCATTGCCCAGAGGCTGTCATAACCAGCTGAGCCTGAGAGACAGCATGTAATCTACCAGGCCAGGTCCTGCTGGCAGCAGCACCAGACACCAAGCCTGTGAGGATTTCTGAGGAAGGCCAGCTCCATCGTCATGGTAATGTGCATTCTTTTAGGTGGGGTGTGCATATTTTGTTTTGAGATCGGAGAAGAGCTTTTTGCCCTGTCAAGAATTGCCATATAGAAGTAAAGCTTTTGAGTTTTAACACAAAACAAAGCTCCATCTAAATAGAACACGGAAATCTAAAAGTGGCAGCTTTCTAGAAGGCTTGGTGGAAACAGTACTTCAGAGTTTCTCTTCTCCACATATTGGATTGCTCAAAGGAGGTTTTCCCAGAATTATGCTGCACTGTTTCGGTTTGGCTGCGTATTGTAACCATGTTTGGAAGGGGGCAGAAGCACTCCTGTGACAAGTCAGTGGACTCGATGGTCTATCATGATTATTGTGTTTGCGAAGGAAGAGTATGGCCGTCTTAGCTTTTGCTGATGTGTTGTGAGTGACTTCGGTCAAAGCCAAGGGCCCACCCTGTGGAAGTGATTGGTCCCCATGGTTGGTGTCGGCCTGATCTCTTCTAAGTCCCGCATTGTCACCATTGTAAAGGTGGCCACTATGTTCCAGTCATTGTACCAGCGCTTTACTGTATTTTTGGTCTCAGTCACCCCACGTAGCAACCCTGCAGAGCACGTGAGCTCGTAGAGAAATGTTAGAGCCTTAGCAGCTGGTGCCAGAATCTTCTGAAAAAGAGAATTGTTTTAATTGGGAAAATCCTTTGATGCGTGCTTGGGGAGAGCCAGAGTCCATGACCCCAGGCTTGGTTGTTAACCAGTGCTGGGTTCAGAGGAGCAGGAGCTACTATATAGTATCACAGAGGTAGAAAAACCAGAGCCAGTCAGGAGAGGAGAGGATGAAGAGAAAAGGTATAGAAGGCGAGGGGGAGGGGACACGAATGCACTTATGTAAGGGCGCAGCGTTCTATAATATGTTCCCAACTCATGGCTGCAAATATTCGGTGTCAGTAAAACTGGAATGCCTGGTTTTCGTGCTCTGTGTGGGGAAACTGGTGAAGAGGCGGTGTTTGGGGTCTTGAATTACATCAGGCAGAGCAGAGAAAGCACCTGAGAGCACAGGCGATCAGAGTCTGAAGAGGTCATGAGAGTCAATTCTTGAGAATCTGCTCACATCTTAGGAAAACCTCATGTTTCCCTGGGCCATAGGATTGGGGATTTGAAGCAATCTTGTGAAAATAACAAGGGCCGTGACCCCGAGATGGCATACAGGTTACAAATAGGTATTATTATCCCCACTTTACAGGTAGAAAAACTGTAAAAATGGAAGAGATGAACTTTCCCAAAAATCACACAGGGATTCAAATCCATTTCTCTTTCAAATACTAGATTTTTTTTACTTAACCTTACTGTTTCTCCTAATCCGCATGCCCGTCTTCCTACATTTTTGTTTGTTTAAACATGAATAAGGTCATGAATTTTAACCCTCCTGCTTACAGACAGTCCTTTCACTGAGTAGACCATCCTTGTATGTTGAGTGGGACTGAGTCCCTGTACATGACTGGTGTTGTGATGCTGAACGTCCCTCTGTACCTCCGTCTAGGTGTTGGCCAGTCAGAGGACTGGGTCACCTTCCAGCGACCTCGCCAAAGCAGACTTTCTGCAGAGCTGTGGGAAAGTGGGACTACCTGCTTGTTAGCAACGCGTTCTGTTTCGTGGTCCTAACCTGGCTTCCTCTCTTATTTCAAGCTTCAAGAATTCTGTTTCCTCGTTACGCTTCCCGCCTTTGCTCTTCTGCCTGGGCATCTTTACAGGGCCCTGTGTGAGCCCAGACTCACTGCTCCTGCAGGCTCAACGTACTCCCATCTTGAAGCTGCCTCCCGGGCTCTGATCCTCTTTATCCCTCCTGGAGATCTCTGTCTAGGGCAACGGACGGCGAAGCTCTTCTCTTTTCTCCATTACATCTGCTTTCTGCAATTCCATTGCCAAAAGCATGATCAGTAATAGATAGCTGGTAAGATTGTTTTACCCCGAGGTAGAACTTGGCCCTTCCGCCTATTGCTGTAAACTGAAATAGGGTTGCAATTCCCTCCTGTCCGGTGTAATAGCACAGTCATACCGAGGGTGTTGTGATCCTGTCCTCTTGACGTCAGCAGCCTACAGTGGGCAGCTACACATTTTCTTCTGGCTTTTTGGTATGAGGGATATTTCTCGTCCTAAGCTTTTTGGCAGAGAGGAGATAATACTGAACCCCAGGAATGTGTTCCTTCTGGCTGCCGATACTTCTGTAAGCTGTCTTTGATTCTCAGGTGGTCTTCGTTTTCTGGTCCCTTTCCTCCTCCTTCCCCTACCCACCCTTCCAGCATTCTGTCACTGCAGGTTTACATTAGGAAAATTCCTGACCACGTCTGTGTGCATAACTATCATCTCTCAATTGTGAACGTGTTGGTTCCCTCACACAGTATTCTTCAGTGCATCGGCGTCATTATTGTGATGTCTGTTACCTGTAGGTGTAGGTTATTGGAAGAACCCGAGTCCACAGAGTTCTCAGAGACCCCTAAATCAAGGTTACCCACTTATGCGAACACCCTCCTCCACCAACTGTTCAGCAGGGCTTCTAAGGAGGGACACACGGATTTCAAATTCCTTGTCCCTTCCCTGCTTTACTTAGAGTGCTAACGTGGTCAAAAACCGGACAGCAAATTGGAGATGGAAAAGCCACATGACTTCAGTCCTTCATATGGTTCCTACATGATTGAGATACGCATATGTCTGAATTTATAGGTTCCCACCGAGTATGAGATACTACGTAAAGTAGCTTAAATGTAGTTCGATGACTCCACAGATGGTTGCAAATGTGTGGAAACACTGGGTCGAATTCCCTAGAGCCATCTTGGCCTCTTGTGGCTTCACCTTCTTCATGGGTTGCCTACAGTTCATTAGATGGCACAGCACTACCCTGAAATTTCCATTTTAATGTAATAAAACTCATCAACCAAATAATTAAAATGAAATCATTAAAGTGAATACAAAAAGAAATAAAGACATGACATAGAAACCAAAGACTATAATACACACATAACCATTTTTAAAAAGTGTTTTCAGTTTTCAGTAATTCTCCCTAAAATGTTTCTATCCATTCTTACTCAGCTTCTAAAACCCTTTCAAGAGTCTGTCAACCTGTGGATCAGAATATGTCTAGTTACAGGGTGTGGCTCCTGTAAAATGTAGCCTGGCTACCTGTTACGAAAGAGCCAACTGGTAGCGTAAAAATAAAACCCTGTTTGCTGTCGGTATGTTCTCAGCACTAAGATTTCCCCTACGAGCGAGCGAGCGAGCGTTAGAGGAAGTCTATGTGTGATACACCATGGAGGTCCTGTTTCCTCCCCGTGGTTTGTTTTCTCATCCCAGGGGATAAAGTGGCTTGCCTTAAACTTGTTGCGTATTTTGTCCCTTTTTATGCTAAACATGGCTACTTTTCCCTCTGGCTGAAAATGTGGAACCCACGTGAACACTTTCTCCATGTCCAAACAACTAGAAAAGCGGAGTCTGTTCAAGCCTGTGTTTAACACAGTGACCCGCTGGCTCGCACTACAAGGCAGGTGCTCACGATCAGCTCTGATGGCAAAATTAGGAATGGGTGCTTCGGAGAAAGGGTACATAATCCCGCTTGCTGTTGGAGCTCACCCGTGCAGTGAGTGTAATGAGAGATTTGTGAGGCAGAGAGTGGTTGAAGCACTTACTCGTGCCTATTTCTCTCACTCATGGTTCTTTCTCTGTACCTCCTATAAATTCTACAGTTTGTCCTTGTATTGTAGATCATTGTCGTCCAAGGCATGTAACTTCGTTCTCCTGGAATCAGGCTGTGTTCAAGATTGCTCCTTAAGCCCAGCTGGTTGAAAAAGAAAACTGATTTCAGATTGTGCTGATGTGCACACTGCTTTAATCAATGGCTTAAAGTGATGGTTCGTGGCAAACAACAGAAGCTCTTAACCAATTAAGATGTTTAGGAAAGGATGTTTGGCTTTTGTTAAAATAGTCACTAATCAGCTGAAATGGGTTAAGAGCAGCCTAGAAACAGCTTGTAGCCCCACTTCAATACAATAAAAGTGTTTTGGTCCTCCCCTTTCAAATTGCAAGCCCAAGGCAAAAAATATGCTGACACAGAAAGAAGTGGCAAGTATAATTTGATATGGTTAATCCTGTGTGTTACCCATGTCTACATAAAACTCTGAAAAACGGCATGCTTGTTTTCTTTGGCCAGAAAAGGGAAGAGAGTTTGTTAAGGTGTAGAACACAGTTTCAGCACGTCTTGAGAGTATTATCAGCATAGATGTCTTTGGATAAAAGAGTAAAGTTAACTTTTAATTTTTTTGTGGTTCCTTATGGGCAGCTGGAGAAAAATCTTTGGTTAATAGTTATGATGAAAGGCCCTGCTGTGGACGGAATTGTCCACCCTCTCCCCCCAAATTCCTATGTTAAGGCCTTAACCCCTAGTGTGATGGTATTTGGAGATGGGGTCTCTTGGAGCTCATTAGGTTCAGATGAGGTCGTGAAGGTGGAGCCCGCATCATGGGATTAGCGCCCTTAGAAGCAGAGACCCCAGAGCTGGCGCTCTCCCTTCCTTCTCGCTGCTTCTCTTCCTTTCTCTCTCTCTCATTTCTCTCTGCCATCTGAGAATACAGTAAGAAGGCGACTTTACTCCAGGAAGAGAGCCCTCACCAAGAGTGCCAGCTTCCAGAATTGTGAGAAAGTAAATGTCTGCTCTTAAACCACCTTGTCCATGGTATTTTGTGATGGCAGCCTGAGCTGACTAACACAGGTCCGTTTCCATTTCCTTTGTCAGATTAAACTGCTGAAATCCTGTGCTTTATCTCTGTATGTCTTTCATTGGTAATGAGATGCAACCATACCACTCAGGATAGTCTCTGTAGGCCCTGAGAGACAGGAGCCATAGCGCAGATGAGAACCACCTTTTGATAACTCCTCTGCCTTAGAACTTAGCCTGTTTCCTTAGGGCCTGTTTCTGCAGGGCCTTGTGTGCTCTCTGAGCTGCAGCAGTTTTTCTGAAGTAAATATCAAGCCTCTCCCTTCCGTCTGTGGTAAATCTCCACAAATCTCTTAGCTAAATTGCACTTATTTATTGCATAATTTATTGCACTTATAATTTAATTAATTAAATTAAATTAATTTAATTTAAAAATTAAATTAATTTTTTAGTTTATTGAAGTATAATTTTCCACTATATAATGTACTCATTCTAAGTGTAACTGGGTGAACTTTTGTAAATTTATAGAGTTCTACAATCATCACCACAATCCAGTTAAAGAATTTTAACTTCACCCCCAAAAGTTCCCCATGACCATTTGTAGTCCCTTCTTTTTTCCCACCACCACCCCAAACAACCGCTTTCTGTTTCTATAGATTTGCCTTTTCTGGAATTTCATATAAATGGAGTCACTCAATAGTCAGTCTTTTGCATCTGGCTTTTTCACTTTGCATAATGTTTTTGAAATTTGTCCATGTTGTAGCATGTATTAATAATTGATTTCTTTTTAATGCTGAATAATCAATTTTATGTATATACCCCATTTTATTCATTCACCAGTTGATGGATGTTTGGATTGTTTCCAGTTTTTAGCTATTACAAATAATTCTTCTATGAACATTTGCAGATAAATCTTTATGTGTTTTCATTGTTCTTGGGTAAGAGCGGAATTGCTGCACCATATGGAAAGTTCATGTTTAACTTTTTAAGAAATAGCATTCTTTTCAAAAGCAGCTTACCATTTTACATCCCCACCAGCAGTGAATGAGGGTTCCACTTTCTCCACATCCTTCATAACACTTGTGTTGTTGTCAGTCTTTTCAATGATATCTGTTCTAGTGGCAATGTATTGGTATCTCATTGTGGTTTTAATTTGTGGTTCCTTAAAGATTTAATGACGCTGACCATTTTTCATGTCCTAATTAGCCATTTGTATATCTTCTTTGCTGAAATGTCTTCAAATCTTTTGCCCTTTTTCTTGCCCATTTTTTAATTGATATTTTCTTATTGAGATGTAGAAAGCTCTGTATAATCTGGATACAAGTCCTTTATCAGATATATGACTTAAACATATTTTTTGCAGTCTGTGACTTATCTTTTTAATGGTGTCTTTTAATGTATAAAGTTCTTAATTTTGATTGTCTAACTTTTTCTTTTTTCCTTTTATGGACTATCATTTTGTTTTCATATATAAGAAATCTGCCTAGCCCAAGTCACAAACATTTTCTCCTATGTTTTCTTCTGAAAGTTTTAGGTCTCTAATCCAGTTTTAGTTGATTTTTTTTTTTTAAGATTTTATTGGGGAATTAGGGGAGGGAACAGCATTTGGGGAATCGGGGAAGGGGAACAGACAAGTTGTCCTTCTGTTCTTCAGTCTAGTTGTGGAGGACGTCGCTTCACTGGCCCATGTTGGTATTATCATTACGCTCTTCCCAGGTGAGGCAGATTGGTCGCCGGTCACTGGACGGCTGGTCATGCTGGTTGCTGGCCGCTCACGCTGGCTGCTGACCACTCACGGTAGTTATGGCAGCCCACTGCAGCAGGGGCTGCAGCATACGCCGTCGCCGGCAACTCACGGCAGCCCAGCTCCAGGTTGAGCTGTTGTTCACCATTTTAGCTGTAGAGGGCAGCATCACTGGCCCATGTGGGATCTGAACCGACGGCCCTGCTGCTCAGAGCTCGCCTCTACCAAGCCAACTTTTAACCAATGAGCCACTTGGCCGGCCCTTTAGTTGATTTTTATCAATGGTATGTGGTAAGTACCTAGATTCATTGTTTTTCATAGGAGTAACTAATTGTCCCAGCATAATTTGTGGAAAAGACTGTCCTTTTCCCATAGAATTGCCCTGGCAACTTGTTGAAAATAGTTGACTATAAATGTAAGAGTTTATTTCTAACTGTTCAATTCTATTACATTGATCTATGTTTGTCTTTCACTAATACATTATTTTGATTGCTTTAACTTTATAGTAAGTTTTAAAATACTATAGTATGTCTTCCAGTTTTGTTTTTTTCTAAAATTGTTTGGCTAATCTACGTCATTTGCATTTCCATATAAATTTTAGGGTCTTCTCTTTACACAAAAAGCCCACTGGGATTTTGATAGAGATTGCACTGAGTATATAGGATAATTAAGGGAGAATGTCTATCTTAATACTGTTGAATTTTCTAATCTATGAACATGCAGTATCTTTCCATTTATTTAGTTCCTATTTACTTTCTCTCCATAGCTTTTAGTGTACAAGTCGTGCACTTCTTTTGTTAAATTTTTGCCAAGTATTTTATTCTTTTGAATGCTATTTTGAAGAGAATTTTTTAAAGTTATTTTTTGGATTGTTTGTTTCTAGTATATAGAAATACTGATTTTTGTATATTGGTCTTATATCCTGCAACCTTATTAAACTTGTTTATTAGCTCTAATTGTTTTTATACACTCCTTAGGATTTTCTACATACAGGATTATATTTTCTGCAAATAAAGACAGTTTTACTTCTTCCTTCTTAACTTGGATACTTTTAATTTCTTTTTCTTGATTGTACTGCCTGAAATATCCAGTACAATGGTGGGTAGGAATGATGAGAGTGAACATCCTTGTTCCTAATCTTAGGGGAAAAGCTTTTAGTCTGTCACCTTTAGTATGATATTAGTTCTAAGTTTTTCTCACCTTCCCTTTATCAGCTTGAAGAAAGCTTCCATTCCTAGTTGGTTGAGAGTTTTTATTATGAATGGATGTTGAGTTTTGTTGGATGTATTTTCTGCATCTATTGAGATTATCATATGGGTTTGATTCTTCTGTTAATGTGCTATATTCATTAATTTTCAGTTAAACCAGCTTTGCATGCAGAGGTAAATTCCAGTCAATCATGGCATATAATCCTTTTTGTATATTCTTGAATTCATTTTGCTAATATTTTGTTAGGAATTTTGTGTATATATTCATGAGGGATACTTTTCTGTAGTTTCTTTGTGGTGTCTTTGGCTTTGATACCAGGGATATATAGGTCTCATGGAATGAGTTTGAAAGTATTCTTTCTTCCGTTTCTGGATTAGCATTATCTCTTCTTTAAATATTTGATAGAATGCACTAGTGAAGCTTTTGGGCTTGGGTTCTTTGTGAGAAGTGTTTAAATACTAATGCCGTTATTTTACTTGTTATAGATCTAGTCAGACTTTCTATTAATGCTTGAGTCAGTTACAGTAATTTGTGTCTTTATAAAAATTTGTTCATTTCCTCTAAGTTGTCTAATTTGTTGGCATAATAGTGTTCATATGATTTTTCCTTTATAATATTTTTAAGTCTGTGGGTTGATAGCAATGTCTCCTCTTTATTTCTGATAATTTGTATCTTACCTTTTTATTGGTCAGTCTAAATGAAATTAATAATGGTGTTCATAGACAAAATTTAACTGAATAAGTTTGAATTTCTAATTGGCTTTATTGACTGAATTCATGAATGAGGCAGCATCTCATCTAGCAATCAGAGAGATACTGGGCGGGGTTATACAAGATAGGAGACCTTTATAAGAAAGGAGGGTGGGA